AAGATACAACAACTTAGCTCATACGGTGACAGGGCACATGTTCAATGTACTGCACAAGGTTGGCTACCTAGAAGGGATCATGTTCAATTTTTACCACCAGGAGCCAAGGAATTGGCAGTTCATTATGAACAACATGTCCCACAATTTAACAAGAATCGTCAAGAAGACATTCTGAGATGAATGGAGAAATTGAGCAAATGAATAGATTTTGCCAACAATTTCTATAAATGTATGTTAGACCTTATCAGATAGACTTGACGCGAATCTACCCAAGATAGCAGGTACGTACAACAACTTAGCTCATACGGTGATAGAGCACACGTTCAATGTACTACACAAGGTTGGCTACCTAGAAGGGATCAGATTGAATTTTTACCACCAGGAGCCAAGGAATTGGCAGTTCATTATGAACAAGATGTCCCACAGTTTAACGAGAATCGTCAAGAAGAAATTTCAAGACAAATGGAGAAACTGGGCAAATGAATAGATTTTGCCAACGATTTCTATGAATGTATGTCAGACCTGATTAGACAGACTGGGACAAGAATCTACCCAAGATAGCAGGTGCGTACAACAACTTAGTTCATACCGTGACAGGGCACATGTTCAATGTACTGCACAAGGTTGGCTACCTAGAAGGGATCAGGTTCAATTGTTACCACCAGAAGCCAAGAAATTGGCAATTCTTTATGAACAAGATGTCCCAAAGTTTAATGAGAATATCAGGAAGCTTGTGAAAGTAAGTAGACAATGGATCAGTGAGCAACTCTCACCATCATCTTGTTCTGAGGGGGGATTCAAGCTAGCCAACAAGCATAGGCAACCTTCTCAATTTTTCAGGGAGGAGATCCGGTTTGGGTGAAGTCTAATAAATTCTCTTTGAAAGAGGTATCACATTGCTGCTTGTCTACCCTGGTCCTTGAGAAGTTCTGAAAGTAATTGGTGATCAGGATGGGCCGTCCTATGTGATAGATATACTATCCCATCTCATGACACATTTAGCCTGCACAGAAGGCGATGATTTTCCCATTCGCCGATCAATGATTCTGCATTTCTGGACGGAGGGTAGGAAGTCAAAAAGATTCTAGAACATGGGTTTTCCTCTACATGTCCCCGTGAAGGACCACAACAACAATACAAGGTATAGTTCAAAGTTTCAACCTGAATCAGAAAGCAGATAATTCAACAAGAATAACACTTTTTTCTTAAAAATTATTTGGACCATTTCTCGACTTGTGCATGGGACATGCTAACCTTCTCTGTATTGTTTCAATTTTAACGGATGTCTTGAAGGACTTGTTAAGAAAAACCTAATGCCCACTGCTGTAGATATCATTGTAGCTGAATTGCGTCCGGTTGGGTAAACTAAGGATTACTAGATCGGTCAAGCACGGATGCCTGCTCTCCCCAACCCTTTACATCATTTACATCGAGTCAATGCATGATATACTAGGGGCAAAAGATCGGCTCATCAGCCTGAAGGCAGGGTGAGGGACTGAATTGCAGTCCACAACTTTTGCAGATGATTTTGCAGCAGTAATCCCCCCGATGGCGCAACAGCTGGGAATCCTCAAGGAAGACCTTGATGTCTTCTGCAAGTATTCAGGAACAAAGGTCAATTGGCTCAAATCAAAGACCACCCTTTCGCCGGAGGTCGATCCGCTGGAAGGGTGGAACATCCTGAGTGGTGGAAGGGGAAAGAATGGTCTTCTGGGGGCCAATCTAACGCCGAGCTATGGGGGGGGGGTCAAGCAATGGCAATTCGAGCTACGCCAGGGGCGGTATGTGACGCGCAACCTCACGCCCTGCGCTGTTTTCCGTTCGGAGTGCTAAGGGTGCGGAAAGGAGGCCCCGAGAAACAACGAGATGGGGTGTGCCAAGGATTTTTGGAAAATTGAGTGTGGGGACACAGACAGAACTGAAATCCCCCATGTTGGTCTAATGAAGTGAGCGATCTGGCGGGTTTCGGCACGCGCGGGATTCGCGACGCGGGGAAGTTTTGAATTCAATCCAAAAAGTACTGTCGGACTTCCCACTGGGCCACGACTCTTCGTTTGGAGTGGAAGGGGGCGGGCACGTGTCTAGTATCTCGTTTTCGCACTACATAATTCCGAATCCGACGTGGATGGTCTCAATCGCGTGACCCTTTCCTTGTGCTCGTCCTCGTTCTGCGTTCGGTAAGGGAACCCCTTCGACTGGTAGTGATCGAGACGTTGGCAATCACTACACAAGGTGTTAGGCCAATGGGGTGCTACTGCCGACCACGGGATGACGATCAACTCGTTAAAGGGTAGTAGTAGCGAGTATGGCGGAAAGTGCGTATCCACAATGACAAACTCAGCGCCTACGAACAACAGAGCACCGATTTTCAGGAGGGAAATAGTACTGCCCACCGATCTTTGCGACGGCTTCTCGTATGTCCCACTCACAGATACGCGTCCTATCCTCGTTATATGGGAAGGGGCGGAGAGGGGATACGGGAGGCTGTCGCCTAGTCGGGTTGAGCCCGTTAGTCCACATGGCAAACAATCAGAAATAATTTAACCATTCATCGCGTGCATGCATTCCTAACAATCCAATCAGGAAGGCCAGTCAGGAGAAACAGAGGGTGCGGCGAAAGAGAAAGGAAAGCTCATGTGTGGCAAGACGTGGTCGCTATTTTGTGCGTGCGTCGCGTATGTACTCGCAACATTCCTTCGGCAATCACAAATCAAAGCATTCCTGTATTTCCAAATCCCAACAACATTGCCCCTGCCGTCGACTCGCCCTAATCAAGATGGGTTTCGTACCCGTTCACTCTCATCTCCCATGCATGCATTCACTGTGGAAGGTGCGAAAATGACAATCATGCAATTTCCCAACAAGGTGACGTTAAGGGAAGAATCTTTGGTGGTCGATACACGCGCATCCACCGTTCACAAGACAAAATCCCCTAGTTTGGGGGACTACCCAGGAAACTAATGGAAGAGTTCCGGAAGAAACCATTTCAACACAGTCATTACACGCATTCCATCACACACCAACTTTTGACTTATTACATAGAACCATCCACAACGAAGGAAGAAAGAGAAGGAGGAATCAAGACCGGAGGGAAAAATTACACTGAGATCGAGGAACGAAAAGAAGGTTCGGCTTTACCGCCGCAAAGTCACACCAAAGAATAGATTCGCAACCAAGAGGGCGTACTCGCCACTAATTTCCAACATGGCCCCGGGCCAGTCATCCACTCAACTCAGATCACGTGTCCGCATTCTGACACCGACGATCCCGGTCGTCGCGCGTCATCCTCCACCACTGCGATCGTCACCTCGCCAACTTAGTCTCGACGTGGCTTGCCCGGATCCCACAGTCCGTCGTGGCGATCTAGCGCACCACCAGCCAGTGTACAGTCGGCTTGTCAGGACTTTTCGACTCGCACCATACACATCGCCTAGCCACTACTTCCCGGAAGCTGGCCGGTGAGTTGAGAGAGAGTTTTGAGGGGGCGCCAACGGAATCTATAGTTGCAAGAAGGGAGAGAGATGCGGAGAAGGGTGAAGGGTGAGGCAGAGGAGGGCATAGGAGAGTTTGAAAGTGGCCGCCCATCGAAAGCCATGTTGATCCTCCTAACTCGACCTCAACCAATCAGAATCGTCGTGCAGTAAGAACTTACACGACGCTTCTCCTTGGTTAGATGGGGAGCACAAGTGGTTAACGGGGACCCCAAGTGCACTCTATAGATTGGTGTGAAGTTTGCTTGGGATGGCCTTATGGTTTTCTTATAAATTGAGGTGAAAAATGGGGGGTCGGTTAACCTTTTCTCATGGGGAGAGAGGATCGACTGGGTTTTCGAGCGCGGATTTTAGAGCAGGAAGAAGAGGAGCGCGAAGAATAGCACGAAACGGGTCCAAGATTCAGATGATCAAGAAGGAGGAAGAAAAAAGGCACGCGTTGAGAAAGGGGAGGGAAAAGCAGTTACAGGGGGCGGGGGCGAGAAAGCGTGTGCGCGCGAAGAAAGATGGTGAGAGGAACGCAAGGGAGGAAGGAGGAGGGAGTTTGCTTGCATGGCGCCGGTCAGCAAGAGGGAAATGGGCACCAAAACAGTTAGCAGTTTTTCCCAATCCTATGCTAATTCAAAATTGAAAGTACCATATCCGCGCACAAAACAGGCGCGGGAAAGAAAATCTTCCGTCGATCCATATTCGTACAAGAATTTCCCAGAGTCTTCAAGGTCGAGGCCGAGAACATTCGCGCACGGAAGGTCGCGCAGTATTCCGATAATTCCGGGATTTCTAACTGCCGAGCCAAATTTCAAGCGCACTCGTTAAGGCGCGCAAAATTCCCATGCATTTTCAATCAAAAACAGAAAAAGAAAGGAGCTGACAGATTTCCGCAAGGTACCTTGAATCGGGCACAAACAGAAAGGGGAGAGGAGGGGGGGGGGTGTCTTGGGGTCGAACTGTACACATCTGGATGCAGAGAACACACGGGAAAAAGGAAGGGGTCCGAAAGATGGCGCAAGTCTGGAAGCTAGTACGTCACATATGTGACGCGCAGGGGGTTCCAAAATTATGCGATCTCCTGATTGCATGTCATGGCGGAGAAGGAAAGAGGGGGATGAGAGGATGCATGAGGAACCAAGCGTATCAGGAGGGAGGATGCTTCACATCAAGTAGGTAATTGAGCCAGAGTTCATGTTGACGCCAACTTCAATTGCAATTTCTTCGCGAGTCTGCTGGCTCGAGCTGTTGGAACCGTCGGAGGTCGTCCGGGTGACGCCATCATCGTCTGCGGATTCTCCGTGTGCTCTGCACCCTTGCCGTGCTATTGGAAATCCGCCCGACGGTAGTCGACAAGGAGGGGATGATGGAGGGGTCGGGGCCATTCAGGTGGGAGCGGAGGGAAATAATCCTCCGCTTCATCACCGAGATCGACAAAATGTACGATCCGATGTGCGCGGGGGAAACGATGATTGGGTCGAGACAGGGAAAGGAGGTAATCGGGATATAGGGAGGGAATAGTTCGGAGGACGTTATCTCTTAGAGACTCGTAGTCCTCCATAGCAGGAAAGGTGCCGGAAATGAAGTAGTACAACTCCATGTGGTTGGACCGTGTCCAGGCAACGCTAAAGAGAAGGATATTGAGAGGGAAGGAGGGGGAGTGATGGGGGAAGACCGTGCAAAGGAGGCGAGCGGCGAAGTGATGGCAGAAGAAGCCGCTGGCGAAGACGCGATAGTTCAGGGGGAATTCGAGGTGGGGGAGAGGTCGGAAGCGGAGGAAGTCAAGGGGGCGGCGGCAGACGGGACGAGGACGGTACGTCCGGGCCGGGAGGAGGACGGGGATGAAGCGCGGAGGGGGCGGAAGTGGCCGGAGAAGGTGAGCGAGGGCGGCGGCGCCTGCGGTAGGCTGGCGCGCCATCGTGCTGGCTAGCAGCGTCCGAGGGGACATCGGGATTCAAGGCCGATCCTCCTTGAGCGAGCGGCGGTGCTTGTAAAGCTTCCCGGGGTTCAGGCGCTGATGCCTCTCCTTCTTCCTTAGAAGTCGACTGGGCTTCTGGCTCCTCCTCCTCCGATAGTCCAGCGATGGCTACGCGACCTGGATCGTCGTCTGATGGCAACTCTCCGTTCTCCCGATTTTCTTGCCAAAACTCGTTGAAATCGGAGTTGTCGGGTGCAAGCTCGTCCAAGTCCAAGTAACACCAAGCCGTCGGATCGTGATTGCTCAGATACTGCCCGTAATCCTCCGTACAGTTCGCCCAGATTACGGTTGGTGTCAACTTCCTTTCCAGAGTTTCAGGTCCCGCCTGCTTCGGATCGCGTGGATTGTAGGAGATGATGTCCATCGGTAAATCGTCGACGAGCTGCGACAAAAAGGTAAGAAGTTTGTAGGCGACCGTGGCCCGTCCTCCCTTGGCGATCTCTCCACACAACAATCCTACCAACGTATCGTCGGTATCAGACCCGTTCGGCCACAGCTGCGCTAGTACCAACGAGATCTCGTGAGAGTGCTCCAGTTCCTGATTGCTATAGTATCGCGACCAGTGGCACCTCACCGTGAGCATGCATACACTAACCGCTGCGAACTCGGTCCACTTGCGAACGTAGGCAGAACTGAATGGGAGGGTGGAGGAGGTAGAGGAAAAAGAAATGCGATTTTGCGGGAACCTCTGGAGGTCCCCACAAAATATGTAAGTCCGCGGCTGTCCAGGCCGCTGACCTTTACGTGCCCTTTTGTGTGAAGGCGCAAAATACGTGCCTGGTGTGACCCGGAAAACAACATAAAATTTGCGATTTAGCGAAAATACGTGCTAGTGTGAGTATGCCCTCATAGCAGATCGACAGATATACACACACACCAAAAAAAAAAAGGGGGGGTGATCCTCTTCTTTTATTTTATTTTTATTTTATTTTACTCTTGTTACGATCCTGGCCAATTTCGAAGTATACAAACATCAGAAAGTACAATGCCGTCCAATTGCAAAAAGAAATGAATGAACTTGAGAGGAGAGAGAGAGAGAGGGAAAGAAGAAGAAGAAGAAGTAAGAAAGAAGAAGAAGATGATGTACTCCAGCATAGACCAATGACAAGGCTCTTCTCCCTCGCCAACCAATCTCCTCCTCCATATCTCCTCCCCTCTTATTCAAACACAAAATAACAATAATAATGTTGAATGGCTGAACCAGAATCAATGTCTGAATCCCACTTCTATTGCAGGCACAACATGATGGGCACCATAGCCATGGCCACTCTTCCTCTTCCTCTACATACAGGCCAAGCTTCCTTGATGCGGCACTACCCCCACTGGGGGCTTCCAGATGCAGCGCCTAACAAGGTGATGAAGATGGTGTCTACCATAGCCAGGTAAGTACCCCACCACTCTCCTCCTTGGTCCTTCTCCCTCCTCCTCCTACCGGTAGAGCTCCACCATAGCCAAGGTGGAAGCTCCCGGCTTCTTCCTCCCAGCAGCGCTGTAGTACCCAGCGCTACTCCAGCCAGCGCTCCATCAGCGTGTCGCCAAACTTGCACACTGAAGAATGAGGCCGAGCTCTTGCCTCGGCCTCTTGATATAGCGGCCTGCTTGCCCCCTGGGCGGTGACTTGCAGGCCACTCGGCCTCCCAAGCAACCGGTACCTCCTCCCTTTCGAAGGGAAATTTCACTGCTGCAACCCTCAATGCCACGGCCACAGGTAAGTACCGGCCCTACGGGCCTGCCAAACAAGCAAGTACCCTTTTGGGTCACACACACACTCATGCCGACAAGCACTCAGACAGGCACGCAAGTCCACAGGCACAGACACACACAAACTTAGAAAACACAACAGAATGCGGGAATCTCGGCAAGGCATCCATTCCATCGGCAAAACTTCATAAATCAGCAGTGTTCTCAGTCTGTGTTATGACGGGTTATTACATTCTGTTGATTAGGACCGGGAGGAAAGTACAGTTTGGTTGGTTACCTTCCTGCGCTCTCCCTCCCACCCAACCCTTTGCCTGCATTCCCGGTTTGGTAAGTGCCACGTCAGCAGTGCCACGTCAGCAACAGTGCCACGTCAGCAGCAGTGCCACGGTAGCAGTGCCACGTCAACAACCGTGCCACGTCAGCAGTGCCATGACAGCAGCACCACCAACGTCAGCAGTGCCCTGCCACCATGACGGTTTCAGCTTTGGGCATGCCTGGCCAATTGGCCAACGAGTCCATTGACGAGTACCATCAGCGGGTTCTAGCTCAACTCGCACTGATCGAGGCTGAGGTACAGCGCCAGGCAGCAGCCGAGGCTGCCCGCCTACAGGCTGAAGCGGCGGCAGCAGATGAAAAGCAGCGGCGTCAGGCCGAGGCTGACGCAGATGCCCAGGCCCGCCGCAAGGAGGCCCAGGATCTGTTACAGCGGCATGAAGCCGCCAGGGTCGAAAAGCTCAAGGTCTGGCATTTTGAACAATCCGAGGACCATGACGACGCAACACCGGAAGAGCAGCACAAGGAGTTCCTCTCCAGAATCGTGACCCGGTTGGTTTACACTTGTAACCACCTGCAGTCCGAGTTAGAGAAACAACACTAGGCACTGGCGCAAGAACACCAGGAACTGGAGAACCTCCGACGGGCAGTGCGGAACCACAAGGATCTGCACGAGGGTGCTACACGGACACTTGATTCCCGTGTACAGGACTTGGAGCAAGCAACACCAAGACCAGATGCTGGTGAACCCAGCAATGCAGCCTCAACCCGCCAATTGGAGGAACAAGTTGACCATGTAGCCGCAATGCTCGGCGACATCAGCACCTTCGCCGCACCAGCCACCATCAACGAGCAGCTCGACACCTTGCAGACCGAACTTGGGCAGTTGCACCATCCGCCCGACAACGATCGCAGCACCAGTGCATCAAAGCACTACAAGATGCCGACGTTCCGGATCGAGAAGTTTGACGACTATATGCATCAGGACTCAGTCGTCCGGTGGCAAGGCTTTACAACGGAGCTTGGGATTCATGAAGTCCCCGAACATTTGTACATCCCGACGCTGTTCCTCAACGTCCAGGGCGGATGCTAGAACTGGCTCAGCCACATGGCAACCATCCACGACATCCAGGTCAACAACTTACACAAGAAGATCTCCTGGGAAGATCTCAGCCACATGGCAACCATCCACGACATCCAGGTCAACAACTTACACAAGAAGATCTCCTGGGAAGATCTAATGAGAGAATGGAAGAAGTGGTTCATTGTTGACGATGCCCCAACGCTCGCCATCAACCACCTCTTCACCATGACTCAAGGTAACACATCGACGCATGATTGGCTCACGGAATGGCAAGAGATCGTGGCAACACCCGATCTCGACTTGTCGTTTCCGCATCTGTGCCGAGAGTTCTACAACCGGTCGTGTGCCGCCTTGAGCCTCGCACTCGGTGATCATGAACAGTACACGACCTTTGTCGAAATCATCGATAAGGGTCGTGAAATCATCAAGAGCAACCGGGCTGCTGCACACGAGAAGACAACATGGCAACCAACCCATGTGGAGAAAGGAAAATTTGGTCCGCGTCCACAGCATGTCGCTGCAGTCCAACCGGACAACATTGTGGAAGACCCGACAACCACCTTAACATCATGTGAGGGAGATCAAGGGGCCGCCATCCAGCCACGAAGCAATAACAACTCCAGTGGAAAAGGGAAGGCGAAAACCGCATCACCGGCTGGAAACAGAAAGCCAGTACCATGGGTCAAGTTCAACTCGACCGAGGCTGAATACAAGTACCACAACCGATACGGCTGCTGCTATTGGTGCAACAGCACCAAGCACAAAACCTCCCAATGCCAAGATCAAGGCAAGGAGGATGTTCGACCTCAAATCAGCTCGGGAAACTGAGCTGCGCAAGAGGTGAGGCGACTCCACCTCTCACTTCGCCAGATTCAGCCGCCTTGCTAGCGGCCTCCTACACATATGGGGAGGAGGCGCATGTCGCAAGTCCTCGGTAATCTTACGAGGATTACGCTTCCCACTTGGTCCCACCGTTGGACCAGCCACTCCACGTGCAACAATCCACTGCATGCACGGTTTCACCACCATCGACAACCGATTCGGCAGCTTCGCCGCCAACTTTCACCGGGGATTCGACGTCATGGTCAACACTTGAGGAGCTCGACCCGTCGACGTTCACGGACTTCCAATGGATGCCCCTTCCCCATCCGGTCAACTGTCGAAACCGCATTGCAACGTGCTCATGGCACAATTGCGGGATTACTTGCACACTGCAGTACCAACTCTGTTGATGGACGCCGGAGTAGAGGTTGACCTTCGCGACTACCTTGCGAATATCGACCGCGAGTTCAAGACACAACGGTACGACACCAACGACGCACTGTACATACGCATTCAGATCAGAGAAGCGACCTGCAACGCTTTGATCGATTGCGGCGCTACTCGCAACCATATGAGCTAACACTTCATGGTACGCGTTGGCCTTGGGCCACGCGTTCGAAAGAAGTCGCAGCCCACTCAAGTCACGTTGGTCGACGGTCACACGCACAAGTCCATCGACTGGTGCATTGATTCCGTCCCCGTGGCTCGCCGAAGGCTCCTTCGAGACTATCACAGTTCAAGACACATGGGTGTGCACGGGTGTGCCGGAGCAGACCGGAGGGCTGGAGTGTTAGTGTACTGCAGCAACCCCTACATACCCAGTCAGAGGTAGTCCACTCAGTCAATTCCCAGGGTTTGGCCGGGGCAATCAATGCTGGTGGAATAAAGAAGTCTTTCAGAATTATGTCTGTTTCTCCTTCCATAACTTTATCCAAAAGTTGAGGGAGGAGCTAGCTTTCTAGCAGTGAAAATCTGGCGCCTGGTACTAAGGCGAAGAGGCTCCCCCCCCCCCTCCCGAGATTACCTGCACAGTCAATCCTCTGGATGCCAGAGTAATCAATGTTGGCAGGCTTCCTCATCATTTTGTATTCATGTTGTAAAGGGACGCTGGACCCGCTTTCCAGCAGGTGATGCTCCCCACCAATAGATGGAGCCTCTCTCCAGGTGCTAGCGGTGTCTGATTTCGTCAGCACCACTAGCACTGCAGGGGGTTGTCCTTTAAAAAAAAAAAAAAAAAAAAAGATTCCGTCCCCGTGTACTTTGCCCCGCATGCAAGCGAGGCCGTGTCCTTCGACATTTTGGACACCAAGTTACGAGCAGATTTGCAAGCATCTGCACCGCTAATCTATGCCAACTATGAGCGACGAAGACCAGCTAAGGAAGCTTCACAAGCTGGCCCTCCCACCGGGACTTTGGTCCTTCCCTCCGACAGGCAGCTCGCCCTCACAGGTAAGCTCGGTCTTTCAAGGAAGGGGGGGGAGGGCATACTGCGCAGCCACATGGGCCTGCAGGGCCTAACCAGTGTCGTCTCAGCCTAAAAGCCTGAAAACAAGGGCCTACAGGCCCTGTGTCGTTTCAGCCTAAAAACATGAAAACAAGGGCCTACAGGCCCTGTGTCGTTTCAGCTTGAAAGCCTGAAAACAAGGGCCAACATGCCCTGTGTCGTTTCAGCCTGAAAGCCTGAAAACGAGGGCCTACAGGCCCTGTGTCGTTTCAGCCTTACAAGGGCCCTCCAGGCCCTGAGTCTTTTCAGCCTGAAACGGAGGGCCATTTTCAGGCCCTCGTAAGATCGACCTGCCCTGAAACTTAGGCACCAGACCAGGGTTTAAGCGAACGCCATTTTGGGCCTGTTTTCAAGACAACCTTTGTTTGAACTTCAACACCAGGGTCTGGCACGTTTTGGCATTGGCAAGAGCAGCCTCCTGGACGGGCCAGCACAATATAAGACTGGCCCGCCCTGCAGGCTGCAGGTAGTTCATAGGGACTTCCCAGGCACTTCACGTGCAGGAGGCAAGAGGCAGTCTTCAGGATCAGCAGCACTCTGGAGGAGCGCTGCAGTAGTAGTAGTAGCGTTAGCAGTAGTCTTCAGCGCTGGGCGCTATTAGGAGCTAGAGTAGCATTGGAGAGAGAGAGAGATGGTTGGCGGAGGCCAGGGAGACTTACCTGCGGCGCCATAGCTCCAGCTTCATCTTCGATGTACCTGCAACAAGGCGCCACCTTCACAGGTTACTACCGGACACAGAGAGAGAGAGAGATTTCTTCTTCTTCCTCTTCTAAGTCCACCATCTCTCCCTCACCCTCTTGCTACCTAACTTCTCAGTATCTGCAGACTACGGGAGAGAGAGAGAGATTGGTGACTTTGGGACTTGACGACATTTGGATTCAGACACGACATTGGGATTGAGACCTTGGACGGCGGACTATTTGGGACCTATAACGAAGACTTGGTGTTGACGACATTCCCATCTTCCCCTCTTCCTCGTCTAACCCCCCTCCTCTTCGTCTGTGTATGCTTGGGACTGGCGCATTCTTCCTGTGTGAGCGCCAGGTCCCTTCACACCATACGATGATGATGATGTATGTTTGGTCTGCATTGCAACATTGATTGTTCGGATCATTGGTATATTAGCCTTCCGCTGCGCTATTTTGTACTATGTGAGAGAGGTCGGTTCTTGTTCTGGTCTGTACCGTTATGGTATGCGCCACAGGCCGGCTATGGCAAATCTATCACCTGGCCATTCCTACAGCACAGTAGTTAGCAACTTAGAGCCAACACGAGGACCAGACATGTGCAGCAGGCTGCGGACAAGTCGAGACTGTTCCTCACCTTCCCGTACGATGCCTGGTAGTACGGGCCTTCTGGGAATGGTGGGCGCAAGAAATTGCAGACAAGGCACCACTAGACATCACGGAGACAGATGCAGTTCTCTTAGAAACTCCAATGAAAGTCGACAGAGTGAAATTGAGGAGCTGATAGCAATGCGGCGGTACCGTGGGCCTTGTGGACCCTGCGGAATGAATGCTGTAGGCAGGGAGCATCCTCACCGTTGCAGGCATACCAGGAAAGAGTATTGGAGAACATTAGAGTGGCCCTCCTGGCGGACCTCCATCGCTGTAGATGAACAGGGGGATGAAAGGAGGAAGGCTTCTGGGAAAGATGGGACCCTTACCCACAATTGGTGATCTAGGACCCCCAGACGGGCCAGATGGGGTTTGGGCCCCATCCTGCTGCGCCATGGCCCCCGCCCACAACTAGAGTCTGAAAGTGGATAGGAGTGCAGAGCTCCCTGGATGGCAACAGAGGTGTACTATAGTTAGGAAGTGTGGTTAGGAGGTGTGTAGGGACGTACATGTACCATAATGGTTATATATTTAAGGGGTTAGACGATACGCAAAGAGGATAGGAGGATCATAGGTAGGGATGAGCTTCATAAAGGGCCTAGGGGAAGGGGGGAGGAGGGGAAGACCAAAAGGGGTTAAAAAACCTCTTAAAAAGCTCTTTTTTTTTTTTTTTTTTTAAATTGCTCCAATCTATTCGTGGGGAGCAGCACGTGCTGGGAACCGGGCCCAGCGTCCCTTATAATGGAAATACATTCATGATTGATGATCACTGATGATAATTTGGGATGATTGAGGATCATTTAGGATGATTTAGGATGATTCAGGATGATAGAGTGGATGATTGAGATCGTGAAATAGAGATAGATGATGACTAATCAGAATGATTGTCTCTTAAAAAGCTCTTAAAAGTACAAAACACAAAACATAAAAACGGGAAAAGGGAGAATAGTGAAGATGAAGAGTAGAGTACTGAGAAGGGGGATTGGATGGAAATAAGCTGTAAATATAAGGCATAATATACAGAACAGAAGGCAGAAGGCTCGTCAGACCATTGACAAATCGTGGATAGAAGTACATCAGATTGTACATACAAAGGGTAGATGGCATTCAACACGCTTGGATGATGGGAACACAAAATAGAGCACTAGGAAATATGCAAGGATTTGGAGACAGTGATATAGGCCCAAGAGACTGTTACGAACACCCCCCCCTGCGCTCCGCTCTCCTTGGGATCCTCCTGATGCGTGCCTGGGTGCCGCCAGTAAGCTTCCCGATCAGCAGGGAAATCTCTGAAGAAGAGCTATGGATCGGGGAGGGGGGGGCGCCTCATAGCAGCCCCCCCCTTGGTCAAGTGTCTAGGGCCGCAAGAGCAAGACCAACCCTAAATCTTGAATCTCCCCCTCTTCTGTGCTGTGAAACATGCTTGGCGGTGATAAGCAACTGGGCTGATGCCCCCAGAATAAAAGGGGCCTTGCTGCTCTGAAAAAAAAAAAAAAAAAAAACAAGGAAAAAAAGATATCATTGCAGGTTA